GCGTGGATAGCCGAAAGACGCGTGCCATTACCGAATGGCCAGAACCCAAGAACATCCAGGACATTCAACGGTTTCTGGGTTTGACCGGTTATTATCGCCGTTTCTTAAACAACTTCGCTGCACTTTCGTTACCGTTGAGTAGTCTGAACAAGAAAGATGCTCCGTGGGTATGGCAAGATGCACGACAACGTGCCTTCAATGCATTGAAGCTAGCTCTGCAACAAGCGTCGGTGCTTCGGTTGCCAGATTTCGACAAACGTTTCATTGACTGACGCAAGCAAAGCGTGTGTCGGTGGAGTTTTGTCTCAACTCCACGAAGGTCACGACATGCCCATTGCATTCTTCAGCAAGAAGTTGAGTGATACAGAAACTTGCTGGCCAGTTCACGAACTTGAACTTTTCGCCATTAAGTCAGCTCTTGGACGTTGGCGACACTATCTGCATGGCACAGAGTTCGATGTATACACCGACAACTCTGCCTGCAAGTGGTTTCTTCATCATCAACGTCTCTCACCGCGGCTCGTCCGCTGGCTCGATTTCTTTTCGGGATATCAATTTGTTCTGCATCATCGACCTGGTCGCCTCAACGTAGTTGCCGATGCCTTATCACGCCCGCCGGCTTCCGATTCGTCGGGGGAGGGGAATGACAACGTTCCAAGCCAGACAATTCGCGTCGCAATGGTCAAACGCATCCGATTCGACACTTGCGAGCAACACGAGCAGTGTCAACGCGTGCAACAATCGGCAGAGGCTCGAAGTCAAATCCACGAGAAGTTTACCACGATGCCAGTTTGTGATCAAGAAGTTCTTTTATCCCGTTCTGCTCCAAGGGCAGTACGGCAACCTCTGGGTGCCAAGCAACTGCAAATGAAAGTGTATGAGACCAACCCTGTTGAAGTCACAACCATCAGTACCATGGAGATTAACAATTCAACGAAGAAAGCGTTTGGACAAGCGTATATGAAAGACTCGTTGTATGCTGAGATGTGGTCTGGTGCCAAACAACTCTGGTTTGACGTCAAGAAGCAGC